AATGAACATATCAAAATAATAAACAAGCTTCTCTTTTTATCTTATAGTTTTTATCAGTGCCATCTCCTGCTGCTTTTTGTTTCTTAATGATCAAATTGTGCATAAAAATTAAAAAGTGACTACAGATTTAGGAAACGGGTGACCTGCGGGTCCACCCGTACCTACATGACCGAGTATGGGTATTATAAAAATGTGTAAAAGATACGAATCGCACTTAAAAGTTGAGTACTCTATTGTTGAGTTAACAACCCCGAATAATTCAAATGTGTCAGAATCAAAACATTAAACTAGCAAGAAACCTAAAAAAAAGAAATTTTAATTGAGTCGTAACATAAAACTAAAAAAAAAAAACAATTAAATGAAAAAATTGGATAAAAATAAAAGAAATTCTCAAATAAAAACATTAAAAACATAGATCATATAGAGAAAATGTAAAAAATTATCGATGGCCGCTTAGTCATGTAGTATTCTTTTTTTTTTTCATTAAAAAATTTTTTCACTAGAAAACACTTATTGTATAATAGAAAATCCAATGAATCCGTCGTTTCAATAGGACCTTCTTAAACTGTTTATTTTAAGTACCAAAAAGATTTGCACCAACTATTCACCCTTAACCGTTTGACCCGTACCCGTCCATACCCAACTCGCACCCGCCGGTTTGCCAAGTCTAATCAGGACCCCTGGCTTTATGTTATAGTGAGTTTGAGTAATTTGTTTTCTCAAACCATGTCCGTTCTTTGTGGGCGATTCTCTTTTAGTATTTCATTCCGGTCAACATCAAACGAAGGGCATTCTCGTCCTTACTCATTAGAGACTCTCAGACTCTTACAAGTTAACAGCGTATGTTAAATCAAGGGCGTAAATTATAGTCTTCAAAATGGTGGGATCTGGAGTTGATAGACAAAAACTACAGGGTGATCAAATTCTTTTCCTACTATTGCTTAGAAAATCTACCCGGTTGTAATATACTAATATCCCTAACCCTAACCGCCTGACTTTAAGAATGGGTATTTATATGAAGTCTCTTCATTTCATTTGAAGCAAAGGCGTAAACCCAAACTCGACCCAAATATCCGAACCGGAACCGGCTTAGGGTTTATAGTTGTGTAAGAGCCGAATTGTGTCTCCCTTGTTTCTGTTTTTCCAAATATCTCTTTCAATATCAAATCAGGTATTTTGTTTGTTTTGTTTTTATCATCTCCTCTTTGCTTTTGGCAATTCTTGTTTTATAATCATTCGAATCCTTCTGGGTTATGTCTCAAGTTTCATATGTTTTGCTCCCTGTTTGTGAAATTTAATTATAAAAGTTAGATTTTTTTTTTTTTTAAATTTAAAATCTAGCTTTCTTTCTTTCTTTTTTTTTTTTTTTGGGTGGACTTGCTACAGCTTTGAATTTTCTGTGATATGTGTTTCTAGTTGAATGATCTGGTGTGGGAAAGTTCTTATTGAAACTGATGCTTGAAAACTGTTATGGATAATGAGAGAGTGTTGTGTGATTTGGATTTGGTTGAAATGTTACAAACTAATGGTGTAAAGTTATATGGAATTAGAATTTGATATGTTAGAGCTGTATTACATGTTAGTTCATCTTCATGGAACCACCAGCAATTTCGTGTCGAAGTAATCTATCCTTTTCTGGAAATATTTTAGGAGATTATATAGAGTGGAATACCTCATCATTGATGACACATATATAAATATTATTTTAGTGTTTTTGGTTCTTCAGACGTGAATAACTGAAATATTTCTTTCTTTATTTTTAGTGTTAGACATGTCCCAGGATGCAGGGATGTTTGTGGTTCCACAAACCATTGGGAGTGTTTTGTGCTGCAAATGTGGTGTGCCGATGGTACCAAATGCTGCCAATATGTGCGTCACATGTTTGCGATCTGAAGTTGACATCACAGAAGGCTTACAGAAGAAGGTGGACCTTAAGCATTGCCCCGAGTGTGATTGCTACTTGCAACCTCCAAAAACTTGGATAAAAGCCCAATTAGAATCTAAGGAGCTGTTGACTATTTGTGTGAAGAGACTCAAGAATCTGAATGGAGCTAGGTTAATACATGCTGAATTTATATGGACTGAACCTCATTCNCACATATATAAATATTATTTTAGTGTTTTTGGTTCTTCAGACGTGAATAACTGAAATATTTCTTTCTTTATTTTTAGTGTTAGACATGTCCCAGGATGCAGGGATGTTTGTGGTTCCACAAACCATTGGGAGTGTTTTGTGCTGCAAATGTGGTGTGCCGATGGTACCAAATGCTGCCAATATGTGCGTCACATGTTTGCGTTCTGAAGTTGACATCACAGAAGGCTTACAGAAGAAGGTGGACCTTAAGCATTGCCCCGAGTGTGATTGCTACTTGCAACCTCCAAAAACTTGGATAAAAGCCCAATTAGAATCTAAGGAGCTGTTGACTATTTGTGTGAAGAGACTCAAGAATCTGAATGGAGCTAGGTTAATACATGCTGAATTTATATGGACTGAACCTCATTCCAAGAGAATCAAGGTCAAGCTGACGGTTCAGAAGGAAGTTCTTAATGGAGCGATTCTTGAACAATCTTATGTTGTTGAGTATCATCAGCAAGATCAAATGTGTGAATCTTGTACAAGGGTTGCGGCCAACCCTGATCAATGGGTTGCGGCTGTACAGCTACGACAACATGTCTCTCACAGGCGAACTTTTTTCTTTTTGGAGCAGCTTATTCTGAAACATGATGCTGCTACACGAGCTATTAAAATAAAGCAAATGGATTAGGGAATTGATTTTTTCTTTGGTAATAGAAGTCATGCTGTTAAATTTGTTGAATTTGTGGGAAAAGTTGCTCCAGTAAGGAGCCGCCACGACAAACAACTTGTTTCCCATGATGCTAAGAGCAACAACTACAATTATAAGTATACTTTCTCAGTTGAGATCAGTCCCATTTGTCGCGAGGATTTGATCTGTCTGCCTCCAAAAGTTGCTGTTAGTTTGGGGAATCTTGGTCCTCTGGTTATCTGCACAAAAGTGACAAATAGCATTGCTCTACTTGATCCGATTACTCTGAGGCATTGTTTCTTGGATGCTGATCAGTATTGGAGATCGTCCTTTAAATCTTTGCTCACTAGCCGACAGCTTGTGGAATATATTGTTTTAGATGTAGAGCCTGTCTCTTCTGAAGTTAATGTTGGTGGCTCAAAGTGTGTTTTGGCTGATGCCCAAGTAGCTCGTTTATCAGATTTTGGGAAGAATGATACCATTTTTTCCATAAGAACACATCTAGGCCATCTTTTGAACCCAGGGGACTATGCTCTCGGTTATGACCTCTATGGGGCTAACAACAATGATATTGAACTGGACAAATACAAAGGTCTTGTACTACCTGAGACAATTTTGATAAAGAAGAGCTATGAAGAGAAGCGCCAGAGAAAGCGTGGCAAGCCTCGTCCTTGGAAGCTCAAGTCCCTGGACATGGAAGTGGATAACAGTAGAGGTAGAGGTGACCAAGAGAAGACAAACAACGAGTATGAAGAGTTCTTGAGAGATTTGGAAGAGAATCCTGAGTTGAGATTCAATATGTCATTGTATCGTAATAGAGATTACCAACCATCAGAGATGGCATCTGTAACTGATGGTGGGGATGTTCCTTCTGTTCCTCTGGAAGAACTTCTTGCTGATCTCGACTTAAGTGATGAGGAAATGGGGGATGATGGTATGAGAGAGTGACCTCTAAGTTAATTTGCATCATTGGAGAGTTCTTATTTATATATTTTGTAACTTTTGAATGAAGTTTCTGGTTTTAAATTTATGAAGGAGAACATAAAATTCATGTCTTCTTTGTTTCCGTTGTTCTTGGATTCTCTTGTGATAGAAGACTGCTGTAGTTACAGTTGCAGCAGAGGGCTACAGAATTGGCTTTAAGTTTCTGTTTCCCCTAATTCCAATTTTGTATTAGACAAGTTGCAGTATATGTAAATGTTTAACATCTATGATCTATTTTAGCCTTTTTATTCATTTGAAAAGATAGAAGCTCTCTTTTATTTTAATTTATGAGTGAACACACTTCAAAAATATTCTATCTGATCGGTTCCTAGGATTGTTATGTCAAAACTTTTTCTTTTTGTTACTAAATATTTTTCAAAAGATTTCTGTTGTAAGTTATTTCAGAAATTGGATTATTTCTGTATCAACTTATACTGTAAAAATACTTAATATTCCCCATTCTTAAATGGGACTCCATGGAGTCTGGGTTGCAAGTTTTTGTACTATCAATTTGCAAATGCCTCTGGAGTCTGGATTTTCCAGATGTCCCAAATGCCTTTGCGAATTATACAATTGAATCACGGTACTTTCTTCAATGGTTAATAATTGGATAAAAGTAGTAGTCTACATTCATCGGCATAGACTTCACAAACTTGTGATAGGTCTTGATACAGAATGGTGTTTGCCATCTGATGCAAAGTATCAGAATGTTGCTATTATTCAACTATGTGTAGGATGTTCATGTCTCATATTTCAATTGTGTCATAAAGATGCAACGCCGTTGAGTCTTGTCAGTTTTCTTGGCAACAAAGAGTTTACCTTCGTGGGAAAAGAAGTTAAGAACGATATAACCAAACTTTTTAAAGATCAATCAACTGTATGTGGCAAACGTAATGGATTGCAGCATTGAAGTACAATGACATGGAGTTAAAAAGATTTGCGTTAAGTGCTATAGTTGGATTGGATTTAAATTCTTTGTTGTTTCTTTTAATAATGTTGTTCTAAGCAAAGTTTATGATGTCTTCTTGAGTGGCTCACAAAGCTTCTCATTATTTTAACAAATAAAACAACCCCTTTGTGGCAAAATGAGAAAGAACATAGGGATGTGTCATATCTCTTCTGATGCTAAGTTTGTTCCCAGTACAGTATGTAAAATCTACCAACTTTATGAGTCAATTGTCCTCTTCCTGTGTTAAACTCAACCCCACTTTTGCTTAAAGAGTTCTTTCAGAAAGTAAAAGAGCATAGGGATTGCTGTTAGTTGAAGATGTACATTTAGACTGCACTAAAGCAAATTGAATACACCATTGACTTATCAGAACATCATATGCGCCGAAATAATTATAAGAAAGCTGAAGAATTAAAAAAAGAAAAAGATAGGGCAGAGCAATCAATCAATCAATCAATCATCTGATAGAATTCACAAATTTTTTTCATTTTCCATTTATGACAAAAGTAGCCCTCAAAATCTTCCTACTTTTTGTTGCCAGTATGATTTTGTACCTTGTGATAAGCATCTTTATCCCCATCATTTTCAACCGAAAGTTTTGCTATCCTTCTGATTTTCTCATTGCAGCAATGAATCGGAATATAGCCCAGAAGATATCCGGGCTGGCCTCCTGATGATGACTAATGAATATTGTGTGAACTTGAAAATTGAAATGAAATTAAGCAGAAAGATTTATGGACACACCTTAGCCATAGACTAGAAAAAATTTGAAGTAGATGATTAAGTATAATGCAAGAGAGAACATGGCAAAAACATGCTGCCAGAAGAGGAGTGCTGAAGCTTCACTAACTGCATAGCCCCTCAAGCTGGCAATTGCACCTATCAAAATGGCACTTGGTGTTGTGTATTGCAGAAATATCACGAACCGATACAATTCATCCCCTGTGACCAAAAAGTTCCACTTATCGGCCAAACAGATGACTCCAATTCCAATCACAGGAAGAACAAAAAGCCTTGCAACAATAATACCAATTGTAGTTCTAAGCCCGAGTCTCGATTCTTCTGGACCTTCTGTTAACATTCCTCCGATAATGAGCATAGCTGAAGGCACTGCAGCCTCAGCCATAATGTCTAAACTGTCTGTGATAACTTCTAGTGCAGCATCACTGCCAAATACAATGGATTTTAGTCCAGGAATAATCCCAACAGCAATTGCTACTAGAGAACCGAAAATGGGGGGCTGAAGAATGTGGCAAATTGGTGTATGTTCAGCGACAATTCTAATCTTTCTAACCATTCTAGGCTCAGCCAAGCACCTGAGAGACTTTGGACTGGCGGAACCTCCCTCCTCCGGCGGGGACTCAAAATCAGGAATCGTTGGATTTGAGATGCCTGAAATGTTATTAAACAGCCTTGCAATAAAAGGTGTCTTGCAATGCTCAGTTTCCTTGTCCTCCATTCCTGGCCACTCTGCTTCAACAAGAAGTGGCCTACTGAGATCCTCAGTTACAATTGGTACTTCCTCAATTTCACTGATTTGATATTCTTCTTCCACAATCTCATAATACTCCATTGGAGGTTCCATCATGTGGTAAACAAGAGTGCAGACAAGAATGACTGAAACCCACTGAGAAAAAGATGCATATGCAACTCCAGCACTATAACAATCAATACCAAAAGGATTATCCGTGTTGTGGCAAACTGACGAAACAACAGCAAGAGGAATGTTCCCGGTGTTTCCAAAAGCGGTCATGATGATTGTAAACCGGAAGAATTGCGGCGGCGGTCGGCATATTAGCGTCACCAAAACGCCCAATATGCAACCAATGGCTGTACTAACAACAACGTTTACAGGAATGAACCACCAGTGGATAATATTGTCAAGAGTAACGGATTGACCGAGGTGAATGAATATCAAGCAAGGCAAGAAGAGAACAAATAAAAGCTTGCTGAGTGTCTTGAAAGTGGCTTTTGGGATGAGTTGGACTTTCGGGTGGGAAAGAATTAAACCAAACAGTGTAATTGAAAGGAGTTTCAGTATAGGCAACACAGCATTTTTAACATCATCTTCTCCGGAAATCATGTTTTCATACAATGAAGAAAACAAAAATTCAATCATTCCCGGAAGTAACTTCTAAGAAAATGTGATTGAACAAAACAATCTAGAGAAGTAGAAGGATCTGAAACCTGGAAAATTATGTTCCTGGTAAGAATCTTCTTCAATAAAACATAACTTGATGAGATCCAGATTCCAGGAGAAAAGCTCCCTGGAAAGCACTTCCTGAATCAATGAATATGATAAATAAAAGTAGCGATGAAACTCAACCTACATTGATTAAGAGTAGTGGTGGGGGTGGAAGCTACGTATAGTATAAGCAAGATCTGTAGAAAATAATGTTGGTGATGTTAGCATTCAATTATTGATTTGATTCACTGCTAAATTATTGAGTCCTATTCACCATTTTCATTCTTTTGTAATACTTATCTTCTGCTATATCATCACCAAAGACTTCAACTACTGACTTCCAAATCATATTGGTTGACTGGTTGTTGGTTTCACCCAGTTTGCTCTTTATTAAAAGTGAAAACAATGATATAAACTGGTTTCTGAAAACAGTAACAGTTGCCGGAGCCAAAGCAGAAAAGAGTTAATTCCCGGTCGATTAGTTCAAATCCTGCCGTTAAAAGTCTTGGATATACCCCTTTATTGTAACAAATACTAAAAAAAAATAAGGGTTAGTCATTATAGGGCAAAATTCAAACTTGTATAATTTGGACAATATCAAAATGATCGATATGTAAAGAGTAAACTACTTTTTTTCCACCAAAATAATGGTTTAATAATATTTTCCCACCCACAGACTTTCAAAATACCATTTTATTACCTAAATATATATTCTACTTTCGATTCCGGCATCGTTGCGATCCTACATCACTACTATTTTCTTATTCAATTATCACTCATTAAAACCCCTCAAACCCTACTCTTGTCGATCCCGCTAATCGCCAACAATTGAGCGATTAGGGTTGGTGTAACCGCCCCTCTCAAATTAAATTCTGATCAATCTTAACCACCAAAATCCAATCTTTTATTGCTAAAAGATTTATCAATTTACGATCTTCAAAAACTTTAACAGTTTGGACCAAATTTATTCTTTGTTCACCATCAGAATATAAATTTAAATAATAAAGTGGTATTTTAAAAGTTTATAGGTTAAAAAAGGCCATTAAGTCATCATTTGAGTTAGAACAGTTCGTTAACTCATATGTAAATGATAAAAATCAACAAAATTAATCAATTAATTAGAAAAAGGGTAACCGGTTAAGCTGGACTTATGGTTTTGCCATCCTTATCATAATAAATTATCCAACTTTTGTGACTTAATTCTATTATTAGAATGACACCTAGTTGTCGTTATGCACGCTCCTAACTTAATTATCTAATTATATATGCAACCATGGTTTAAAAGTCAACTCAATTGTTATATGGAGAGGTACCAATACCAGTAATACTACACTTATAAAGAAATTATAAAAATTTCTATATAAAGTGATGTGAGTGATGTGAGAAAAAATAAATGAAAGTGTAAATTCAATAAATTTCACATTTTGTTTCACTCTCCTAATCATTTTTTCTAATCTCGTTTTGTGTAAAAAAATTTTGTAAGATTTTTATTATAAGTATAGTCTTATTGATTAAGAAAATGAGGCCGCATGTGGATCTTCATACTTCTAGCCTGAAAAATGATAGAACTTAACCAATCGCTTGTCAATCAGTCCAACACATCACATGGGTGTCATTGTCAAGTTAAATACTTTGTTAATAAAAAAATTTTGTCCTCACGATCACGATTCAACGATATCTGTGAAAAATGGGTGCTCTTTTATAGTTTTATATATAAAAAAAATTAAAATAAAAAAAAGTTAAATTTTTACAATAATCTAATTAAATAAATATATCATTATACTTATTACATATAAACTATACCATATAAAAATCTTAATATATTAATATTAATATTTTGATTAATTAAATGTGTAATTAGAATTAAAACCAATTAAAAGTATTTTAGTATTATTAAAATAATTATTTTTGAATAGAATAATATATTTGATTGAATAATAATATAATATTTAGTTATTTACTTTAATTATCAAGTTTTAAGTATATATGTAATTAATTAGTAATTAATTAATTATATAAAATAAATTGATAAATATTAATACATTACTAGTTAAATGATTACTTAATCAATTATAACATTATATTATAGTTAAATGATTACTTAATTAATTATAACATTCCATTATAAACATTACTACAATACTTAATTAAATGATTAAAAATTTAATTAATTATAATATTACATTAAAGATTTATAGTATGATTACTTAATTCATTATAATATTACATTATAGTATGATCACATAATTAATTATAACATTACATAATGAAATGTTTATTTAACTAATTATAACACTATATTATAAACATTAGTAATTTATTACATTAGTGTAGACGTAAAAATCTACCTGTACGGAAGAGGGGTCTGATCCCGTGAGGTTAAGGCCACTAGCGATCCGCTGCACCTGCACACAGAGAGAAACACACGCGTGAAGCGAACGGGAAACACCGGGGTGGTGTTTGCCGTAGGCACTCCGACGCTCAAGTCAGCAAGGCAGAGAGAGGTTAATATAGTGAGGGCTAGGGAGTAGAAGTTACCGGAAGTTTAGTCAGGGACTGTGACTACGGTGGTGATAGGGAGCTCTCAAGTCAGAGCTTTCAGTGTGAAGGTGTAATGTCATCTGTCCCTTGTGAGAGGGCTGGCCTCTGTTTATATAGTGGTCGTCTGGTCTCCCAATCTTGGTAGAAGTAGGAGTCCTAGTATGACTCTGATGCAAACCCTAGAAGAATTAGGGCTGTGGTAAGCTGTCTTACCAGTGTCCGGATAGGAAGGTGATTCTGATTAGGAGAGTAACTCCGAGTAGGAAAGTGATCAGGAATAGGAAGGTGACCTTGAATGGGAGATTGATCAGGAGTAGGAAAGTATTCTGAGGGGGTTGTAGGCTCTGGATTTGCCCATGGACCTAGGAAATGGACTGGGATTAGGAGGCTCGTGCCCACGTGGTTTGGGCTGGCTATATCTTGTACCGAATGGGCTTAATCTGGTTGGGTCATATCAGGATTGGGCCTGGCTTCTTCTTCAGTGTCGAGCCCGTTTTCCTATTCGGGCCAAGGACAATTTTTGGCCCTAACAATTAGTACAATACTTAATTAAATGATTAGAAATTTAATTAATTATAACATTACATTATAAATTTATAGTATGATTACTTAATTAATTATAATATTACGTTATAAACAAATGATTACTTAATTAATTATAACATTCTATTATAAACATTAGTACAATACTTAATTAAATGATTAGAAATTTAATTAATTATAATATTATATTAAAGATTGATAGTATGATTACTTAATTCATTATAACATTACATTATATTATGATCACATAATTAATTATAACATTACATAATAAAATGATTAATTAATTAATTATAACATTATATTATAAACATTAGTAATTTACTACGTTAGCAAATACCTAATTAAATGATTACAAATTTAATTAATTATAACATTACATTATAAATTTATAGTATGATTACTTAATTAATTATAACATTCTATTATAAACAACAGTACAATACTTAATTAAATTATTAGAAATTTAATTAATGAAAACATTACATTATAACTAAATGATTACTTAATTAATAATAACATTACATTATATTATAATCACTTAATTAATTATAACATTACATAGTTAAATGATTACTTAATTAATTATAAATTTATTATATTATATTATAAACATTAGTAATTTATTACATTAGTACATTACTTAATTAAACAAATAAAAATTTAATTAATTATAACATTACATAATAGATTTATAGTATGATTACTTAGTTAATTATAATATTCCATTATAAACATTAGTACAATACTTAATTAAATGATTAGAAATTTAATTAATTATAATATTAAATTATAGATTTATAGTATGATTGTTTAATTAATTTAATTAATTGTTTGTATTTTGGTTTTGATTAAAGAATTTTATGTGAATTGTGATGAATAAATTGAATTTAAGTGTTGCCTAGAGATTAGAGGATTTATGAGCTACATTGGATACAAAAAAATGAGTAATCAAAATTGGTTAAGGGTGTATTTGTAAACTTTTAATGTATTTTTGTCATTTTTTAAACTAATAGGGGTAAATGATTTTTTTATAGGGTATTCGGGAAAGGAACCGGAACCTAAAATGCAGGTTCTGGTTCCTTGAATTTAAGAACCTGCACTATGTGGTTCTGGTTCCTTTTTTGAGAACCTGCACTGTGCAGTTTCGGTTCCCTTGAAAAATGTAGGGTACCCGGAACCGCTCACCCCTAATTTTATACATATAGCTCTCACCCAATATCCATTCCATATTTTCAAAGACCATAATAGCTTTCGATATTTAAGCAATCGATACTTACCCTAACGCTAACCTTTTTCTCCTCACATTCAAACTCTAAACAAACACAAACTCCCTCCATTAATCGATTGAAAATTTCATATGAAAATGCATTTGGTGGAGATTAGAAGAAAGGAATTTGCTTGATTTAAAAAGGTAAGATTTCTAATATTTATGATAGATTGTTGTTGATTTATGACGAAATATCAGAAGGTACATGGCACTTGGTAATCTACAATTTAGCGTGATACCCTATGATATGATCCTGTCGGGCAACACAGGGCATTGTTCAAAATAATGCAACGGGAGGTATCAGACTTATTTGGGGACTTTAACAGATGAGGTTAATCGGGTGGTTCAGAGCATGGAAGTAACGACTAGATTAGAGGTATAGGCATATTCGAGCACTTTATATATTAATAGATGAGGTAAGCCATCGCTCTACTTAAACAACGTCAACACAGTTGTGTAGATCACCGATAGGCGATCCCAATAGTGTTGGCGATGTTATTGAACTCACTAGAAAATATTTTTCGACAACTCTGTTGGCTCGTTTATGTATTTTGTGTCTTTAATATTTTTTATTATTTTAATAATCTAATTTTAAAGTTCATTTACCAAATTAGTTTTTTATTTAATAAAATTAGAATCTATAGTTCATCGTAAGGCATTTTGGTAATCGACTTTTCTCAAAGCTGATTTTGAATTCTAAAAACTAGAAATATGTGCTTTTGAAACCCTTCAATAAAATAGATCATAAAAGAAATAGATTGATCTATAATCACTTTTAAAATGTATTTACAGAACAAATTTTAGAATATTGTATAAGAAACAAGGGATAACGAGAAAAGCTACTCTAACTCCAAACTCTACCTTAATTCCTTTGTCCTTAATTATGAGAATGTATTTTG